ACAATTCGCTATCTCTCGGATTCTGCCTATTTATTGTCTATTGTTCCCCCTTAGTTTTTCCGGGCTACTAAAGAAAGACTGTGACATAATACGCAGGATGTTAAAGATTGTCAGCAGGATAAGCAACGTGCCACTCAACCACCTTGTTAATATTCTGGTTGACACGCACATGGACTCATGTGAAAAATGGGCCAAATCCATTTTGTCTAACTCACACCACCCTCTTCACTCACAACACTCTCTCCCCTTGTATCTCATCAGGCAGAACCAGAAGACTATATAGAAAACTATATGCTCACACTAGCAAGAACAAAAACTCAACCATACCCTACTTAACTCATGTTCTGCGCGATAAAGAAAGCATTAGGCGTGACACCTATAATTCATTAAACAGTCAGTAGAACAACTGGACCTCGTCTTTCCAACTCATATCATTTATAGGTACAGCGTTTTCTTTCTTTCTTTTCCTTTTCTCTCTCTCTCTCTTTTCCGTTATGTGCGGCTTTGTTTCCTTCTTCCACTTACGCCAGTAAATATGATAGCACTTACATTTCTAACACCTTCAAACACTCTGTTCAATTTTGGCTTTGCTACCGACATGCCAACATGTTGTTGTCATAATGAACTGCGATTACCCTTAATCTATGTAGAATTCTATTTATTGATAATGTACTAACTGGACGCGATACTGTAGTAAAAATGCTGGGAATTCCATTCTGTATCACAAGTACTGTTTTGGAATAAAGCAAATTATTAATATTATTATTCCCTTAAGTTCCGAGTGGAACCATAGGCCTTGAAAAACACATCTCCGGTTTCTTCTGTTTTCGCCTGTTCTCTTCAACTGGATATTCACACGATCGCCGGTAATCCCTCATGTACTCCTCCTCCGCCTCCTCCTTATACGATCTCTTCCATTTCACTCTAGGATGACCCATTCATTCATGGTTTCCCATCAGAATTCCACTCGAGTAATGATTGACCTGCAATGAGCGCAATTTCAATTGGCATTCTCTTCAGTGGTGTGTGCCCAATCTATCTGCATAAGTGTTGCGTGAAAAACGCTTGATAAGTCTGTTCCCAGAGATGTTTTTTTGTTAATTTGTTCTGGTAGGCTATTTCACCTTCAATATGGAGTCAGCCAGTGAAGTGGGCAGCTGTTGATAAAAAAAATTTTGCAACAGGCTGTTGGAAATGCTTTTCCTGATGCACTGGTCAAGTTTCTTACCCATGTAAAAAGAAGGGACTTCACATTTCTGTGTTGAAAATTTCTAATCTTGTTATCTATGCTGAGGGGAAGTGCAGAAGTTTTTCTTAACCGATTTCAGATTGATAAATATGTATCTTCAAGTATTGGTTGTTTTAGGGATTTTATATGATTGGATGGAGGATTTCATCATGAGCTGACATCAGTTGAAGAGAACCATTGGAAAACCTGGGGATAGGCCACAATGTAAGTTCAACACGCAAAAACTGAAGGACACAACCACAAGGGACATTTTCACTTCAAATGTCAGAACAAAGCAGGAAACACTATGTGACATCACGGAAGAATTATGCGTGGAAGACCATTGCAACTCTCTGAAGGTGATTTTCAACGAAACGTGTTCAACGGTTTTAGGAAGAAAGAAGAAACAAGACAAGGAATGGCTCTCAACGGACACTTGGAAGCTAATAGAGGAGAGGAGAATGGTGAAAGAGAAAATGACTCAATGCAAAGATGGACAAGAGAAAGAGACGCTGAGCTCAACTTACACAGCACTGGACAAAGAAGTGAAGAAGAGTGCCAGGAAGGACAAAAGACAATTCTACGACAACCTGGCTACTGAAGCTGAGAAGGCAGCAGGCAAAAGGGACCTGAGGACACTATATCAGATAACCAAGTCTCTATCCGGGAAGAGATCAACACAATTGAGACCTATAAAAGACAGCCAAGGGAACCCAATTAACAAGGAAGAAAGACAGATTAAACAATGGGCGGACCACTTCAAAGGACTCTTGAACCGACCACCACCTACAACCCGTCCAGAAATACCAACAACAGCACGTACACAACTGCAAGTTGACACCAATCCTCCAATGAAAACTGAAGTCATGAATGCAATCAAGCTCCTGAAAGCTGGAAAAGCTGCTGGACCAGATGGAATACCCCCGGAAGCACTGAAAGCGGACCCAGAGACGACAGCAGATATGCTGACTCCATTATTGCAAAAGATCTGGAAAGAGGGAAAGGTGCCTACTGACTGGAGGAAAGGTTACCTGGTGAAACTACCAAAGAAGGGCAACCTAGGACTCTGCAAGAACTGGCGAGGAATCATGCTCCTGTCGACGCCAAGTAAAATCCTGAGTCGCATCAACCTGGAGAGGATAAAGGACGCACTGGATACAGAACTCCGACCAGAACAAGCTGGATTCAGGAAAGGCAAATCATGTTCTGAGCAAATTGCAACTCTACGCATTATCACCGAACAAAGCATGGAATGGCAATCAAACCTCTACCTCAACTTTATAGACTTTGAGAAGGCCTTCGACAGCGTTGACCACGAAGTAATTTGGAAACTACTCGAGTACTACGGCGTACCCCAAATCTTCATCAACCTTATTCAACAGCTGTACGACAACGGCACATGTCAAGTGATCCACAACGGAAAACTCAGCGAGGCGTTTGGAGTAAACACAGGAGTCAGAGAAGGGTGCTTATTATCACCAATGATATTCCTAATTGTGGTGGACTGGATTATGCGTCAGACAGTGGGAAACAAGAAGACAGGGATATCCTGGACCGACGTGAAGAACCTAGAAGACCTAGACCTGGATTTCGCGCGTGGATGATTTATGTTTGATGTCACACAAAATCGAAGACTTACAAGCGAAAACCGACAAACTGGTCGAAGAGGCTGGCAGCAAAGACAGCACTCCAGGTGAACACAGACAACACGGAGGTTATGAAAATAACCAACCAACAACAACAGCAGCAACATCCAGCGCCAATCACCATCAACGGGAGGGATTTGAAAGAGGTTACTTCATTCACTTATCTAGGGAGCATTGTCTCAACCACAGGAGGAACGGACGAGTATGTCAAATCGAGCGAGAATCGGGAAGGCGAGAAACACATTCATTAACCTGAAACCAATCTGGAAATCTTCGTCACTCAGCCTGCATCAACAACAAAATTCGGATTTCCAATACAAACGACGTCAAGTCAGTCAGTTCTCCTATACGGATCAGAAACTTGGCAGCGGGTCACAAAGAATATTTCCAACAGCCTGTTGCAGACCTTTATCAACAACCGTCTTCGCTGGCTCTATACTGAATATCAGATGGCCGGAAAGAATCACAAACAAGAAACTATGGGAACAAACAAAACAGGAACCAATCGCTCAACAAATATGCAGGAGAAAGTGGAGATGGATTGGACACTCGCTGCGCTGAGGAGGCCGCTGGGTGACATTGCGCGTCAGGCGACTGCTCGAGTGGAACCCGAAAGGGAAGCGGCGAGTAGGACGTCCAAGGATGACATGGAGGAGATCGTGTGATGAGGAACTGAAACAGTATGGATTAACATGGATGCAGGTGAAAAGTACAGCAGAAGACAGAAGCAAGTGGAGGCGTGCAGTTGAAGCCCTATGTTTCACTAGGAACCCAAGGGAACAATAATAATATATATAATTGGAAAACCGGTGAGGGAGTACTGAACGGCTGTTTCGTCGGACTCGTTTGGGGCTCTTCATCAGTATGCACCCACCACCAGTGTTCGAAACCATGAACTTCTGGTTACAAGGCGGCGAGCTCGTAGACCAGGATTTCATCATCATGAACTGACATGGGTTATTGAAGCATCGGAAAACCACTAGCCTCGGAGTACTGGACAGTTGCTCTCTCCCTCTCTCTCTCGTCCCACTAGTTTGAGACTCTCCACCAGTGCGCATAAACCATAGGGGGCTCGAATCCACGACCTTTCGGTAACAAGTGCTTTTTACTAATGTTTCTCTAACCAATTTCAGCTTATAATGAAGTCTTACATGTGTAATAAAGATAAAATTAGTTTGAGGTGAATAGACGAGTGAGATGAAGGGGAAACAGACTAGGTGGAATTTCTATCTTCAATCCACTTATTCCACTCAATGATATCAATGCAATTTCCCCCCCCCCCTTTTTTTATACACCACTTGAAGAAACGCAAAGTTATTCATACAGAATTAATTTGCTGTTTCGGAATTTTTTAGAAAAAGTGAATCTCTGCATATTTCTGATTACCGTTAAAAGCCTACACACAATTTTTATATGAATTACTAATAACACATTTCACAAGTCATTGAATGTACATTTAATTTTTTTTGCAATCCTTTACGTTCCCCAGTGGCAAATAGGGAGCTTCAAGCTGGAGGCTTGAATTTTCAGTAACAGTGGGTTTTTTTTTATTTGACACTAGTAGCTAGTGTGATGGGTCTAGTCCTCTCTTTGGTGCAGACTGAATTCTATCAGTCAGGTTGTAATGTGGCCACCATGCTAGGTAGCTCACCATCACGGTATACATTGTTTGTGATGATATTAGATGGTTGGAGGCAATCGGCCAAAGGAAGCCTTGGACCTAGGTTTCGTGCTAGTTGGCACTCACCAGTCAGTCAGCAAGGTGTATCTGCAACCTTGAAGGAACAACTCATGTCCCTTCTGAGGTTCGAGCCCGCGTTGTCACCCAGTGCCGCCTGCAGTCAGAGACGTTACCATTGAGCTATTCGGGCTGGCTCGTGATTGACCTCCTGTAGGAGTGTAGTAGGTACTTTCATTGGACACTAGTCACTAGTGTGACGTGTCTGTCTAGTCAAAGACTCTGTGACCCAATATGCTGTATTTCAATTTGATTACGCCAAAACTCTTTTCCAGCTCCATCCTATATCGAGGAAGGGACAGGAATGCTGAACAGGCATTAAAAAATCAAATTTAAATGTCAATGTTTCTATTGAATGAATGAGTGAATAAATAATGACTTAACTAACCTCTTGAACAGCAAATGAATTCGAAGAATTTGGATCTACACGACTCATCTGTCTCAGTGATTCACTTTCTTGTGGTGTCAAGCCAATCCATTCAGTTAATAATTCAGATGATACATCTAAGTCGACAATTGCACTGCCATCTGTAATTCGTACAGCCAATGTCCATTTAGTACCATGATGATGTTCTAATGATGACAGTAGACTAATTAATAAACCACGAATTCGATATACAGAAGATACTGTGTTCACATTTCCATTATTAACATTATTTTGTAATAGACTATGATACATATCCTAAAATTTAGAAAGTAAAAATAATTCAATCAATTAACAAATATAAAAATATATATACATATAAGAAAAAAAAACTAATTAATAATCCCTTTTGGTTACAGGATTTCATCATGAGCTGACATTAGTATTGGAGTACTTACTTTTACTTTACTTTACTACGGCTATCTCCTACGGGAGGATGAGACAGCTTCATGAACATCTCGAGTCATCGCTGCCCAGGCGCGGCGATCTGATGCAAGGTTTTGCGACAGGGTTATCAGATTCGTTTGTAAGAGAGTTCATGAAGTTTCATGGGAATTTGGTACGAGTGATGTCCCCAGAATCGCTCGGCCCTTTGTTTGAGAGTGCAGCTCTAGCCTTTACACAACCAAGTGTGACCTACAAGGCAGTAGAAGTGGAGTAGGGAGTCCACTATCCATTGGCAGCCGGTGACCGGAGTTCGGTTCATACGCCTTTTTGAATAGGGCCAGACATCCAGGACATCCAACAAGCCCTTTGTCCATACGTCTGCCGGTGAACTCCAGTGAGCTTCATACGCCAGTCGTTGGAGGTTTGGAATCAGGGTTCGGCCATCTCCCCTAGACTGTCATCTAATGGACAGTCAACCCGGTGAAGAGCGCCGGGCATCCGCTTTCGCCCTCTCACTTTGGTGAAAAACACCTCCGCCACGTGAAGACAGTGAGTAGGACTTCCTCAGGAGAGGCTATGTAAGACGCCCGGTCATATGGGAGCATTTCAAGAGGTGTGCGGAGGGGTGGCCAACCCGCAGCGCAAGGCACCTACCCCCGACCATCCTGAGGCTTTGGAGTGCTAAACAGATGTTTCGTCCATGTTTGGGACTCTTCATCAGTACGTAACCACACACCCAGGATTCGAAGGCAGGACCTTCTCATTACAAGGCGAGCTCGTACACCATTATTGAGGCACTGTGACCCAATCCAATGACCCATGAATTCTAACTTCTGGCAATTCACGACACAGCACAACCACTAGCCAATGTCTTCGGGGGCGAGTATTTGTCCTTACATCCGACCTGCTGCACCCTACTGTTCACGACTTCCCACTAGAACCTCAGGGGTAACAACCTACCTGAATAGAGCAAGTTGCCAGTGAGCATCTAATCGATATTCAAGTGTTGGTTTGTAGGGATTTGATTGACTGGTTACAGGATTTCAGCTGTCCAGTACTCCTTGAAGGTTTTCCAAGGGTTGTCTAACCAATGTCAGCTCATGATGAAATCCTGTAACCAATCAATCAAATCCCTACAAAAACCAACACTTGAATAATCTCTTTTCCGAGCATATCCCTAAAAGTCATCTTCACACACAGATATTACAGTGTTAAAAATGTTTACTAATAAAGAAATAAACGTATATACAATCTAAGTAATACAATGAAATCAGAAAGAGATTTTACTTAGGCATTATACTTTCATTTGATTTGATCGAACGAATTCAAATTTTTAAATATTCCCATTGTTAAAAAAATTAGAACAAGACATATAAGCGAACAGTATTGTTTTTTTTCAATTAGTTCATCTTCTGGCTTAATTCTAATTCACATAGGTTTGCAAGGAGACACATGAATGCCATGTATAATAACAAGGAGAAATTAACAACGGTTTAAAAGAAACAATTGTTCATGAAACTGCAATTTAATAGGGACGTACGTGGCTAGTGCCATTCCCACTATATATAGTGAATAACTGGTCGGAATTGGAATTCATAGAGACTGGCCTTTAGATAGGGTGGGGTCATTAGTGTCTGAAAAATGGTCTACCACAACCTACAACGCGCCCAATAATACCAACCACGGAAGCAGAACTACCAGTGAACATCAACCCCCCGACGAAATCAGAAGTCCTGAAGGCAATCAAGATGCTGAAAGCTGGAAAAGCAGCAGGACCAGATGGAATCCCAGCAGAAGCGTTGAAAACGGACCCAGAGACAACAGCGGACTTGATGACACCACTACTGGAGAAGGTGTGGAAAGAAAGCAAAGTACCCGAGGATACTAAGAAAGGATACCTATTCAAACTGCCACAGAAAAGAGACCTAAGTCAATGCAAGAACTGGTGTGGCATTATGCTCCTGTCCATCCCAAGCAAAATACTAAGCCGCATCATTCTGGAGAGAATCAAACATGCCAACCTGGATGAAAAACTTCGACCGGAACAAACTGGATTCAGGAGAAACAAGTCATGCATTGATCAGATCGCCACATTACGGATCATCATTGAACAAAGCTTGGAATGGCAGTCACCTCTCTATCTCAACTTCATCGACTTTGAAAAGGCCTTTGACAGCGTCGATTGAGAGGTGACTTGGAAACTACTACGCTACTATGGGGTGCCACCGACAATTACACATCTCATCCAACAACAGTACGACAATGCTGCATGCCAAGTAATCCACAACGGGAAAATTACGGAATCCTTCGAAGTGAGGACAGGAGTAAGACAAGCTGGCTGCCTACTACCGCCAATGATTTTCTTGATTGCAGTACATTGGATAATGCGACAAACAGTGGGCAATGAGGAAACAGGCATAAAATGGACTCACACAAAACACTTGGAGGATCTGGACTTCGCCGATGATGACATATGTCTGATTTCCCGCAAACTGGAAGATATGCAGGCGAAAAGCAACAAGTTGGCAGAAGAAACATCAAAGATAGGACTACAGGTGAACATAGAGAAAACAGAGGAGATGAAGATTCCTGGCCAACACCACCAACAGCAACAACAACCACAACAACAGACAACGATCAGCCAACATAAATGGAAGGAACCTGAAAGAAACAACCTCTTTTACCTAACTACCTGGGAAGCATCGTTTCAACTACAGATGGACAGAACTGACGAGGTTATCAAAGCAATAATCGGAAAAGCAAGACAAGCTTTCACTACTCTCAAGTCTGTGTGGAGGTCAACAACACTACTCAGCATCAAAAATAAGATCCGGATTTTCAACTCCAATGTGAAGTCAGTGCTACTCACCATACGGATCAAAGACTTAGCGCGTCATGAAGAGCATCTCAAACAAACTACAGACCTTCATTAACAGTTGTCTTCGCTCGAAACCACTCAAGATCAGATGGCCGGCCAGAAAAGATCAGCAACAGAGATCTCCGGCAATGAGCGAACCAACCCAGCAGGAACCGATTGTGAAAGAAATAGGCAGGAAGAAATGGAAGTGGATTGGCTGACCATACTCTGAGGAAACAATCCATCAAGTGACATCACTAGACAAGCCATCAATCGAGTGGAACTGGAAAAAGAAGCGGCGAGTTGCTCGTCAGTGCGAAGGTGGGGTGACTTGGAGGAGGTGATGTGGAGAGGAGATGAAAACGTGTAGGCAGACTTGGAGCCAGTTGAAGACTCCAGCAGAGAAACGAACGCAATGGAGACGCATGGCTGAGGCCCTATGTTCCTCTAGGAATTAAAGGAAACAATAATAATAAAAATAAAATGGTCTACGAGCTCGCCTTGTAACGAAAAGGTCCTGGTGGGTGAGAACGATTGAAGAGTGTCAAACAACAACTCTCAAGTACTCCTGTACTGATGGTTTTTCACAATGCTTCTCTAACCTATGTGTCAGTTCATCATGATGAAATCATGTCACCAGTGGTATTCCTGTGAACCTGTAATCACTTGAGGAAAAATAGATGCATTCACAACTAACTAGACTAATTTTAAAAATAGAAAGAATGACATATTAACTTGTTATTATTATTATTTTTCTTTATTTAATTCTAAAAGCTTCACCCTGATACGAATTAATTGTTTTTTGAAAACACCAAAAGTGCAGTCTTATTTTTTATTAACATGTGAAATTCTAATGTAACTGCTGTTGATTTGTTTTTTTCTTGTAAACACCTGTGAACAACACGTTACTCATTGAGGAAGAAGCGTCCTATTTCACCACGACCACGACCACCACCACCACACAGTACTCACAATTAACAACAAAACAAAAAGAGATTATTACTGGGGTCAAAAACAAGACAAAACTCTCTATAAAAATGGTATATATATATATATATGTGTGTATGTGAAACATGCAAAATTTGTTTACTCAAAGAAAATAAGAATGTTTATTTTGTTTTATAAGTAAAAAGAAAAGTTTAGTTCAACCATTAGCATGTATCTTGGTATAAGAATAGAATATTTGCCCACTGTGGCATTATTATCCTTATTATTATTATTGTTCCCTTGGGTTCCAAGTGAAACATACGGGCTTCAACAACACTCTCCACCTTGTTCTATATTCTGCGATCCTCTTCAGCTGGGTCCACACGGTTGCCCAAAATCTCTCATCTGTCTCTCACACAGGATCTTCTTCATGTCACTCTCATGACGACGAAGACGACCCACTCATCGTCGCCTCCCATTGGGATTCCACTCGAGCGATTGCCTGGCATGCGATGTCATTCGGCGCCTCCTCAATGTATGACCGACCCATCTCCATTTTCTCCTACATATTTGTTGGGCTCTTGGTTGGTTTGTTTTAAGAGTTTTTTCTTGCTAATTCTTTCTGGCCATTTGATCTTCAGTATGGAGCCTGCGAAGACAGCTGTCAACAAAAGTCTGCAACAACCTGTTGGAAATCCTTCTGGTGACATGCTGGTTAAGTTTCTGACTTGTGTAGAAGCACCGACTGACTTGACATTGGTGTTGAAAATCCGAATCTTGTTCCTTAAAGTTGAGTATGGAGGATTTCCAAACTGGTTTCAGGTTGATGAAAAGGCGTATCTTGCCTTTCCGATTCTGGTTGGCTGCTGTTGACATCTTCGTGTGTGCCGTATGCCTGTAGTTGGAACGATGCTTGCTAGCAGTATAAGTGAAGGAGGTAATCTCTGTTAAATCTCTCCCGTTGACGGTGATTGGTGCTGATTGTTGTTGTTGCGTTTTCTCCACGTTCACCTGGAGTCCCATCTTTGCTGACAGTCTCTTCTGTCAGTTTTTTGGTCTTCACCTGCAAGTCTTCTAGTTTGTGTGAAATTAGACATATGTCATCCAGGCGCGAAATTCAGGTCTTCTAGAGTCTTCTTATCGGTGGTCCAGAGAAATCTTGACTCTGTGGTGGTTGAGTATAATTCCATTGTGGAGGAAATTTTATTTTGATATGTTCTCAAAGTGTTATACAGTAAGTAATATTTACTGATGACCACTTCTCGAGCACAATTTATACGCTGCTGATAATTATATCAAGGTACTTCTCATACACGACTTTCTGACTTCATTTATATAATCCCATTATACTTTTCATCTCTTGATTTGATTGGTAGTAGTATTTCCACAATTCCACAAGATTCTTAATAAATCAGGAATTAGGGTAGCATTTTAACCTACCAACTCACTCAGGTAGGATAAGCTCTGTAGGTTAGATGACCTTGTCGGTTGACTCAAATAGACAAAATAATATAATTTACAAAATACCTTGTGATAACTATGGGTTAATGTCACAGGATTAGCTCACTTCCAAAGTTTTGTATCACACTGGGACATGGATTTCAATGCTGAGTCCAAAAGTAGGTTTCAGTTACTATCTTTCTTGCGTATCCCTCAGTGATTAGTATTGGTTTATCATATCTATCTTGGAGTCCCAGTAACTGTGAATGGTCTATGAGCTCGCCTTGTGACCAGAAGGTCTTCGAGTTTTAAGTATGTCAAGTGCGTGCTGACGAAGAGTTTCAAACTAGGATGAAACAACCATCCAGTACTCCCTGATTATTCGGTGAGTTAGTGATTCAGAGGTAAGGATGCTCACTGACTACGCACGCACTTGGTAGAGCGTTCAATCCCCCGCCGACCCATTCACTCCTTACGCTAGTTAAGTCGGCAATGAGTCCAGTAAAAAGGGAAGATTGGATGCGCGGTTAGCCGCACCAATGCTACTGAAACTTCAAAATTGAAGCTTGAGGCTCTCCCTACATTACACATTCAGAAGGCAAAGGAATAAAATAAAATGTCTACTTTCAAATGTTTCACCGTCAGACAAACCTTAACTTAACGCAACTCAGCAAGAAATGATCCTTGACAAGTAAAGATAACTGCAATCTAATGAATGAAGATCTGGATCTTATTTTTCATGCTGAGTGGTGTTGACCTCCTCACAGACTTGCGAGTAATGAAAGCTTGTCTTGCTTTCCCTATGATCCTTACTTTGATATCCTCACGAGTTTCATCAGCCTGTACTTGAAACAATGCTTCCCAGGTAGGTGAAGAGGGTTGCTTCTTCCATGTATATATATATATATATATATATATATATATATTAGTGTAGAGCCAGCCGGTGATAAGGAACTAATTGAAAAGGAATGCATATGAAAAGATTAGCTGTCTTTGATCATAGGTGCCTGCGTTCTATCTCCCGTGTGAAGTGGTATTATAAGCTGAGCAATATTGAGGTTAGGCGTCGATTGCTAGGTAAGGAGGGAGGGAAAATCAATCGACAAGGCTGTGAAATTACATCGACTGAGATGGTTAAGACATGTGTCACGTATGCCTAGTCATCGCCTTCCTCGACAATGGGCAATGTTAGCTGATATACAGTCAGGCTTGAAAAGAGCTAGTGGCGGTCAAACCAAAACATGGCTTCACCAGTCAATGAAATCTACAACAGTTAGCTTAAACCAGCCACGTAGGAAGGTGTAAACGGCCTGACTTCCTGGTTGGGGTCCTCGGGACAGTAAAAACCAGTGGTTGGAAACAATTGGTGACATGGCTCAAAATCGTTCTCAATGGCTGATGCATCCACACCTTGTGACTTATGATTTCCAATGAAACTGTTTTGTTCTCCGTTATTACTATACCTTTGTCTCACACCTCTGTTTACTGTCTCTAATACGCATTTCTCTTTGTGTGCTACACGGAAGGAGTGTGGCAACTTGAACTGCCGCACATATGTGCAAAGTTGTATGTTGAAAAATAGACAACAGATAAGTTACAAAAATTGTTTAACTACATCAAAAGTTCAACGTGAGAAATTCAATGACGTAGATAAAAGTCAGCAAAAAAACAGCGAGAAAAAGAAAAACGGGGATGGGGAGTTTTTTGCAAGGGGACAACAACAACGACAACTTACTTGAATGTAACAAAATGGTTGAAATCGATAATCACTTTGTGATGAAGTAGTAGTAGTAGTAGTAGTAGTAGTAATGATAGGCTGACAAATAGCTGTTTGAGGTTTACAACCAACAGCAGTACTGCTATTGTTATTATTATCATTATTATTATTATCATCGAAATCATTGTTTCTACTCAAGCTTGTTTTAGATTTCCCTTCATCTGTCTTTAACATCGTTGACAAACCAGATGAAGGAACATTAGACCGTAGTATATCTTTCAAATTACTTTTATTACCACTAACACCAGTAACAGAGGCAGTGTTCTGTTTCAATTCAATTGGTTTACGTTTAGGCGCTGGAGGTAAAAGATCTTCACTATCATCAATATCAATAGTAGGTTTTACAATAGCTGATTTTATAGATTCCACTGTAGAAGGTTTAGTCAATTGGATTTTAGGCAAACAGGAGGAGGAGGACGCAGCGGAGGGGGAGGGGGAAGATGAGGCATCCATATCCCTTTTTGTCAATGTATCATTACGTGTGTATAAATTTAAAAGTGTTTGTTTTAATGTTTGTCTTGGTTCTGACTGTAATTTTGGTGGCTGATTGGGTGTGAAACTCTTTGCCATTAAGGATGATGACGTTGACGATGAAGAAGACGAAGAAGTGGCTACAGTTGGCAGAGTCGGGGATACTTTCATCGTAGAATGATACGATTTCACAACATTCACTATTGGCTGTTGAACAGTCAAATCTTTCACAGGTTTATGATCATCTATTTCAGCTAATGCTGTGGCTAAAATATCTGGATCAACTTGATCGCCTAAAAATGGATCATCATCATCATGATCAGTATCCTCCTCCAGATCATCATCATCGACTCTTTTTGTAGTACATAGACTATCTTCAATACTGCTCATCTCTGATTGACTTGACTGTTGTTGTTGTTGTAGTAGTTGTTCAGCCATAAAATTTGGTAGTCGAAGTGGATCATTAAAGGAGGGAATAGACTGACATCGTGAGCTTGGTATGCCTAAATTATGAATATATATACAAAATATTATATTATGATCATATAGTGAACTTTTGAATAAATACATATAAAATTAAACATACTACTTAAATAAAAACGAGTAATCAAGTATAACATTTAAATTTAGCAACAAAAGTTAGATTAACAACAAAGGGGAATTCCATATTAGCCTGTTTATCAGACGTATCACACAGGGAAACAGTATTTATTACATACTAGATGAGAAAGTTTTGAACATCATCTAGTATTGTCCATAATCATGCCATGAATTATAATCACACGACTTCGAAACTTCAGTTTTATAGTTTTCTTTCTTCTCTCCTATTTGTCGTCGTTGGGGTAGTAGAATTTGCCAGATCTCCCGCTGGACAGGTGTTCAATCATTCCTGTTACACGTATTTGCAGTTGATTCGATAAACAAAGCTTCTGTTATCAATCTCTCCCACCACCCTATGACATTAGATTTTAAAACTGTCATCCTATCCCATCCTATTGCATGTAGTTCTATCTATGGCTGAACTATTCTCTAGATTTATTATCTTATTCGAGTCAACCAATCTAGATTTTGCTAGGTTTTTATGTTCGGCTAGTCTGACTGACCCTATTCTATTACTTTGACTTATGTATTTGATCTGACAAATATTGCAGGGTATGAGATAAACTAAATTGTTTTGTTTTAAAGGCTCCACACAATACTTCAACCGACAAAGCTTGTTTCTATTTGAGTTTGTGGATGGTTTGAATGCCAGCCACTTTTATTTCTTCCTGCCTTGTTAAGGATTCCACGTAAGGTTTCCGAGGTTCCTTCGTCGTATGGAATTACTACTGATGATTTAGATTCCTCATTGTTGGTGTTGTCATTCTCCTGCGCATGTTTGACATGCACACGTTCGTCATTAATCGAAACTGTGTGTTATCGAATCAATTGCAAATACGTGTATTGGGAATGATTCAACACTTGGCCAGTCGGACATCTAGAAAATTGCACTATCCCTACTACGAAGACGAATAGGAATGAATAAGGAAAATTATCAAACTCAAGTTCCAAAGTTGTGTGACTGATATAATTGATATGATTATGAAAAATAATTGATTGTGTTCGAAACCTTGTCATCCAGTATGTAATCATACTGTTCCGCTGTGTGTGTGTGATACATTTAATAAACAAACTAATATGGAATTATCTGCAACCGAAGTGCTCAAATTTTTAAAACATGTATTTAGAAAGGGGAATTGAATGCGAAAATTGAAAAAGTGACTTTGTTTACACACCTCAGAGGCAATATAAGTTGGTTGTTAAAAATAAAGTTATGAATGCATAAAGCAGAAAATCTATACAACTTTTGTTAATACAAGTTATCTCCTCTTTTCATTAATCAAAACTGTAAAACCTGATCAGGCATAACCTGAATATAGTATAGTCATAAAACTATCAATTTTATCAACTAGGAAGATTTGAATTTGGAAGACGAATTTCGCGAGATGATATCGTCATTTCGTAGTTTTTTTACAACCGCTTTACAACTAAAATAGTTAACAATAATAAAATAAAATAAAGTTCATAACATTTACTCAGTTAAATAAAAAACACAAAAGTACATACTGATGACCAATCATATTTACAATAGGTCATGTTGTCCATGGTAGGCGAAGATTGAAGTCGATTGGTTTTTGTACACACAGTTTAGGCTGTATGTGATTAATCCAAAGTGCTTCCATCACCTTCAATAACCTTGAATTGGAGTTTTGTGAAATAATTGTGAAACAGTCATTAATCTTCATTTTGTGTCCTGACATGAATAAGTGTTTTGCAATGGATGATGCTGGATTTCTATTCAGATTACTGGCATTGGGACTTACTATATGATTTAGTAGCCATTTTGGAACATTCTGTTGGTTCTACCTATACAGGTGTCACCGCAGCTGCAGGTGAACTTGTAGATACAGTTTGAAGTAGAGTCCACAGAATTTCGTCCTTTAATCGTAGGTACAGGGATCGAAAATGTTCGGCAAATGAGAAAAAGAGATGTGGCGTAGAATGTACGTTTGATGGCTGACCGAAGTCTTTGAGCTAGCTGTCAACTGCATCATTTGGTAACCCTTGAATGGTAGATTGATAAAGATAGCTTTCTTTGGTACCAAAGCTGTCTTTTCTAGATGTGGTCTATTCTTACTGTGACAATTGATAAAGTTTTCCGGATAACAATTAGCTAATAAAACTGAATGTATATGTAGAAACTCATTCATCACTGTGTCACTGGTGCATATTTTTCGGGCCCTCGAGAACAAACATTTCACTAGGGAACGTTTATACTGGATAGGAACAAAACTGGTAAAATGAAGATATTGTCCACTCCATGTCTGTTTACGAAAAATAGATCGTTGAATAGTTCGATTATCTCTCCTGGTCATTGTAATATCCAGGAAACCAAGCTTTTGATTCGATTCGAGTTCGGAAGTCACTCGGATATTTGGATGAATATGATTAAATAGAGTGATAAAGTTTTCAATAGATTTACTATTATTACCAATAATGAGAGTATCATCTACATAACGTTTATATAGCATAAACATTCCAATCATATCTTGCATTTGTTTTTCCAATTTCGACATGAATATATCTTCTAACAGGGGCCCAAGAAAGCTCCTCATCGCAACACCATCGATTTATTTGTATGCCTTTTCTTGGAAGTTGAATCTAATGTTTTCTGTACACATTAAGATGATGTCTCTGATGTAAGTGATAGGAATAAGTAAGTTTATCCCATTGCTTGTGATGTAATCGCAAATGAAATCAACAGTTTCACATACAGCCTAAACTGTGTGTACAAAAATCAATAGACTTCAATCTTCGCCTACCATGGACTACATAGCCTATTTAAATATAATTTGTCATTAGTATGTACTTTTGTTATTTATATAACTGAGTAATTGTAATGATCTTTATTTTATTTAATTATTGTTAACCATGTTAGCTGAAAACAGTTGTAAAAAAACTACGAAATGACGATACCATCTCGCGAAATTTGTCTTCTTAATGCCTTATTCAAATTTATCAAAGGGACTAATTGTTTTGATTTTCTCAAACTAGGAAGACGATAGGTTTTATATATAATCGCCTAAGAGAGATAATTTCTTTTTAAGAATGAATATATGCCTATCATCTAATGAGTGCTTATATTCTGTCTGTTTTCGACATAGAACTTTGCACTTGTGTGAGGAAGTTCAAGTCGCCACACTCCCTCCATGTAGCACACAAAGCAAGAGAAGAAAGTAAGAGAAATGCATAAGATAGACAGTAAACAGAGGTGTAAGACAAAGGAATAGTAATAACGAAGAATCAAACAGTTTAATTGGAAATCATAAGTCACAAGGAGTGGATGCATTGAGAACGATTTTGAGCCATGTCACCAATTGTTTCCAACCATCATTGATTTCTAACGTCCCGAGGACCCCAACCAGGAAGCCAGTCTACACCTTCCTACGTGGCTTAGACTAACTGTTGTTGATTCCGTTGACTGGTGCCATGTTTTGGTTTGACCGCCGCTAGTTCTTTTCCAGCCTGACCCTATGTCAGCTAACATTGCCCATTGTCGAGGAACGCGATGACTAGGCATACGTAATACATGTCCTAACCATCTCAGTCGATGTAATTTCACAGTCTCGTCGACTGATTTCCCCTCCTTACCTACCACGCGACCGAAGCCTGACCTCAATATTGCTCACTTTATCACACCACTTCACGTGGGAGATAGAACGCAGACACCTATGATTGAAGGCTGCTAATCTTTCCATGTCTTCAACTCTCAATGGCCAGTTCTCACTCACAGACATAAAAGAGGACGGAGCGGACTGATGAGCAGTACACACGCCCTTTGGTCGGATATCACGTCTATATATATTCTACATGCTTTAGTTTATTAGTTCAAATATAGTCATAATAACAATGGTGCGACTCGTTTAGTAGACACAGGCTCTTTATATTATGAGACTTAGTGTAAGCCACACAGTTTGTCAATACGCAACTAAAATCAAAGCCAGTGATCCACAGACAAGACTCTTTACAACACCGAATTTATAATCAACCTGTACAATTAACTGTATGTATATCGTTTTTTTCATTTTAAGATATTATAACCTGTGAGGAAATTTAAACAATGGTGTGAATGCATAAAACAATAATAATAATAGTAGTATGAAATGCAGTTAAAATATTTGTGATTATAAGCATACGTTAAATATCGCAAGTCAAGTGGCCAGCCAATTAATTGGTCGGAGGATTTCATGATGAGCTGAAATCAGTTAGAGAACCATTGCAAAACGTGGGGAATACTGAATAGCTGTTTCGTTATCCTAGTTTGGGACTCTTCACCAGTACGCACGCACTCACTGACCAACGGGGTTCGAACCCATGACCTTATGGTCACAAGGCGAGTTAGCTCGTAGACTATTAAGCCAGAAGGACCTGATTCAATGGGTAGTCCATGAATTCTAAATTCTGCCAATTCATGATAAAGCACAATCACTTCGCAATGTCTTCTTCAATGAGTTACTGCCTCACCTCACCACCTTCAACCTGCTGCACCCTACCGGTCACGACTTCGCACTTGAAAACCCCAGGTTAACTACTTGAATAGGGCCAGTCGCGCTAGCGAGCTTGACATCAGTTTTCAAATATTCCTCTTGGAGGGATTTTGTTTAATATCAGCTCATGATGGAGGAGGACCTGGTCTTCGCCGATGATATATGTCTGATTTCTCACAAACAGGAAGACATGCAAGCGAAAAGCAACAAGTTGGAAGAAGAAGCATCAAAGATAGGACGTCAGGTGAACATAGAGAAGATAGAGGTGATGAAGATTCCTGAGAAACACCATCAACAGCAACAACAACAGACAACAATCAGCATAAATGGGAGGAACCTCAAAGAAACAACCTCTTTTACCTACCTAGGAAGAATCCTTTCGAATACAGGCAGACGGAACTGACGAGGATATCAAA